GAGTGAAGTAAGTCAGAAGGACAAAAACAAATACCGTATGCTAACACATATATATGGAATCTAAAAAAAAATAATGGTCATAAAAAACCTAGGGGCAAGACGGGAATAAAGTTGCAGACCTACTAGAGAATTTACTTCAGGATACGGGGAGGGGGAAGGGTAAGCTGGGACAAAGTGAGAGAGTGGCATGGACATATATACACTACCAAACATAAACTGGATAGCTAGTGGGAAGCAGCCACGTAGCACAGGGAGATCAGCTCGGTGCTTTGTGACCACGTAGAGGGGTGGGATAGGGAGGGTGGGAGGAAGGGAGATGCAAGAGGGAAGAAGTAGGGGGACATATGTATATGTATAACTGATTCACTTTGTTATAAAGCAGAAACTAACACTCCATTTTAAAGCAATTATACTCCAATAAAGATGTTTAAAAAAAGTAGCACCTTTTGGTTTCATTGATTTTCTCTATTGTTTTTCCATTTTTTAATCTTATCAATTTCCACTTAAATCATTGTTATTTCATTCCTTCTGCTTGCTTTAGGTTTAGTTTGCTGTTATTTTTCCAATGACTTAAGGTGGAAGGTTAGCTTATTAATTTGGGGTCTTTCTTCTTTCTTAATATAGGCAGTTGCAGATATAATTTTCCCTCTCATCACTGCTTTAACTATATCCCGTAAGTTTTGGTATGTAGTGCTTTCTTTTTCATTCATCTCGAAGTATTTTCTCATTTTCTTTTTGATTTGTTCTTTAACCCATTTGTTGTTTAGGTGTTTGTTATTTAGTTTCCCAAACCTTTGTGAATTTCCCCAGTTTTTCCCAATTATTGACTTCTAATTTCTTTCCATTTGGATCAGAGAAGATACTTTGTATTATGTTATGCTTTCAAATTTATTGAGGGCTTATTGTCTAGCATACGCTCTATTTCTGAGAGTGTTTCATGTGCACTTAAAAAGAATGTGTACTCCGTTGTAGTTGGGCTCCTGGGTGGAGTATTCTAGAGATGTGTTAGGTCTAATTGCTTTATAGTGTTATTCAAGTATTCTATTTTCTTGTTCACCTTGTCTAGCTGTTTTATAATTTATTGAAAGTAGAGTACTGAAGTTTCCAAATATTATAGCTAGATTGTCTATTCCTCTCTTCATTTCTGTCAATTATTGTTTCATGTATTTTGGTGTGCTCTTATTTAGTGCATATATGTTTATAATTGTATATATTCCTGATAGGTTGACACTCATCATTATAAAATAGCTTAATTTATCTCTAGTAACATTTTTTTAAATTTTATTTCATCTGACATTAACATAGTCTCTCCAACTTTTCCATGGTTGCTGTTTGTATGGTACATATATTCCTATTCTTTTAATTTCAGTTTGTTTGCCTTTGAATCTAAAGTAAGTGTTCTGTATACAATACATAGTTGAAACTTTTTTTTCCAGTCTGACAGTCTTTATCTTTTGTTTGGATTGTTTAATACATTCATATTTATTTTTAATATATTTGGAATTCTGTGTGACATTTTACTTTTTGTTGTTTATGTCTTATTTGTTCCTTTATTCCTTCCTTACTGCTTTGTTTTGCATTGAATAATATTTTCTAAAGTAGCATGTTAATTACATTAATAATTCTCACTACATTTTCAAGTTTACTTTTAGTTATTGCCCTAGGGTTTATCATATACATCTTAACTTATCAGAATCAGCTTCAGATTTATACTTGTATAATTCTAGTAATACATATATAGAAATGTAATTCCTGCACTGCTCTAATCTTTCTTAACCAGTTTTAGAGTATTATTTTTATAATTTTTGCATCTATTAATGTAACAAACCCAACAGTATATTCTGTAATTATTATTTTATTATATCTGTTGTCACTTTTTTAGCCCACTACAGTTTTTCTTCCATATACTTCCTTTATTCTATTATTGGCAAATGCATTACCCATACATTACTTTTCTATAGTTATAGGTCCAAGAATGTGTTCTATACATATTTTATACAATTGCTTTTTAAAATCAGTGAAGAGAGAAAAATGAGAGAAGAATATGCATTTGTAGTGTTTTTTATGATTATATGATTACTTTTACTGTTAATTTTTTTTGTTTGTTTTTACAGCATGCGGTCTTCTCACTGTTGTGGCCTGTCCCATTGTGGAGCACAGGCTCCAGATGTGCAGGCTCAGCAGCCATGGGTCACGGGCCCACCCACTCCATAGCATGTGGGATCCTCCCAGACTGGGGCACGAACCCATGTCCCCTGCATCAGCAGGCAGACTCTCAACCACTGCGCCACCAGGGAAGCCCTACTGTTAATTTTTATTCATATGGATTCAAATTACCATCTAGGGTCACTAGTTTTCAGCCTTTGGAACATTCTTTAGTATTTCATGTAAGGCAGGTCTGCAAGCAACAAATTATCTCAGTTTTTGTTTATCTGTGGAAGTCTGAATTTTGCCTTAATTTTTGAAGAATAGTTTTGCTGGATATAGGATTTTTGGTTGATAGTTTATTTCTTTAAACACTGCTCAAAGGATATGTTATCTCACTGTCTTCTGGCCTTCATTGTTTCTGCTGAGAGCTCAACTTCTATCTATTTTATATATAGTAGTGTGTATCTGTTAATCCCATACTTCTAATTTATCCCTCCCCAACCTTTCCCCTTTGGTAAATATGTTTGTTTTCTATGTTTGTTTTTATTGTGTAAATAAATTCATTTGTATTATTTTTTCAGATTCACATATAAGTGATTAATATTTGTCTTTGTCTGACTTACTTCACTTAGTATGATATTCTATATGTCCATCCATGTTGCTACAAATGGCCATATTTCATTCTTATTTAAGGCTGAGTAATATTCCATTGTATATGTATATGGTATATATGTATACCATATCTTCTTTATCCATTCATCTCTTGATGAACATGAAGGTTGTTTCCATGTCATGACTATTATAAATAATGCTGATATGAACATCGGTGTGCATCTATCTTTTCAAATCAGAGTTTTCATATTTTCTACATATATGCTCAGGAATGGGATTGATGGATCATAAGGTAGCTCTATTTTTAATATTTTAAAGAACCTCCATACTTTCTTCCATAGTGGCTGCACAAATTTACATTCCCACAAACAGTGTATAAGGGTTCCCTTTTCTCCACACCCTCTCCAGCATTTATTATTTGTAGGCCTTTTGAAGATAACCATTCTGACTGGTGTGAAGTGATACCTCATTGTAGTTTTGATTTTCATTTCTCTAATAATTAGCAATGTTGAGCATCTCTCCTTGTGCCTGTTGGTCATCTGTATGTCTTCTTTGGCGAAATGTTTATTTTGGTCTTCTGCCCATTTTTCAATTGGGTAATTTATTAAATTTTCTTTTGATATTGAGTTGTATGAACTGTTTGTATATTTTGGATATTAATCACTTGTCAGTTGCATCATTGGCAAATATTTTCTCCCAGTACATATCTTGTCTTTTCATTTTGTTTATGGCTTTCTTTGCTGTGCAAAAGCTTTTAGGTTTGACTATGTCCCATTTGTTTATGTTTGCTTTTATTTCTTTTGCCTTAGGAGACTAATCTAAAAAATATTGCTTCCATTTATATCAGAGAATGTCTTGCCTATGTTCTCTTCTAGGAGTTTTATAATGTCATGTCTTATATTTATATCTATAAACTATTTTGAGTTTATTTTTGTATATGGTGAGGGAGTGTTCTGATTTCATTGATTTACCATGTGGTTGTCCAGCTTTCCCAACACCACTTGTTGAAGAGACTGTATTTTCTCCATTTTATATTCTTGCCTCCTTTGTCTAAGATTAATTGACTGTAGGCATATGGGTTTATTTATGGCCTCTCTATTCTTTTCCATTGGTCTATATTTCTGTTTTTGAGACAATACCATGCTGTTTCTATTACTGTATCTTTGTAGTATTGTAAGAAGTCTGGGATGTTTATGCCTCTAGCTTTTTTTTCTTTTTTCCTCAAAATGGCTTTGGCAATTCTGTGTATTTTGTGGTTCCATATAAATTTTAGGATTGTTTGTTCTAGTTATGTGAAAAGTGTCATGGGTAATTTGATAAGGATTGCATTTAATCTGCGGATTGCTTTGTGTAGTATGGCCATTTTAACAATATCAATTCTTCCCATCCAAGGGCATGGGATATCTTTCCATTTCTTTGAATCATCTTCAATTTCCTTTATCAATATTTTATAGTTCTCAAGGTATAAGTCTTTCACATCCTTGGTTTGGTTTATTCCTAGCTATTTTATTTTTTGACATAATTTTATATGGGATTGATTTAAAAAATTTTTTTCTCTTTCTGATATTTCATTGTTAGTGTAAAAACTGCAACAGATTTCTGTAAATTACATTTTTACCCTGCTACCTTGCTGAAGTCATTTATTAGTTCTAATAGTTTTTGTGTGGAATCTTAGGGTTTTCTATATAGAGTATCATGTCGTTTGCATATAATGATTGTTTTACCTTTTCCTTTCTGATTTGGATACCTCTTATTCCTTTTTCTTGTCTGGTTGCTATTGCTAGAACTTCTAATACTATGTTGAAAGAAGTGGTGAGAGTGGACACCCTTGTCTTGTTCCAGAATTTAGCAGGAAGACTTTCAGCTTTTCACTGTTGAGTATTTTATTGGCTGTGGGTTTGTCATAAATGACTTTTGTTGTGTTGAGATATGTTCCTTCTATACCCACTTTGGTGAGAGTTATTATCATGAATGGATATTGAATTTTATCAAATGCTTTTTCTGCATCTATTGAGATGGTCATGTGTTTTTTGTCTTTTCTTCTGTTAATGCGAAGTATCACATTGTTTGATTTACGTATGTTGAACCATCCTCATGACCCTGGAATGAATCCAACTTGATCATGGTGTATGATCTTTTTTTATGTATTATTGGATTTGGTTTGCTAATATTTTGTCAATAATTTTTGCATCCATATTCATGAAAGGTATTGACCTGTAATCTTTATTTTTTGTCTTTGTCTGGTTTTGTTATCAGGGTTATGGTGGCTTCATATAATTACTTTAGGAGTGTTCTCTCCTCTTCAATATTGTGGAATGTTCTGAGAAAATAGGTATAAGTTCTTCATTGTATGTTTGGTAGAAATCCCCAGTGAAGTCATTTGGTCCTGGACTTTTTTTTGCAGGGAATTTTTTTTTTTATTACAGACTTCGTTTCACTTCTAGTGATCACTCTGTTCAAATTATCTGTTTTTTCTTGACTCAATTTTGGCAGGCTGCATGTTTCTAGAAATGTGTCCATTTCCTCTATGTTTTCCAATTTGTTAACTGTTCATAATATTTTCTTATAATTTTTTGTATTTCTGTGGTATCACTTGTTATTTCTCCCATTTAATTTCTTATTTTGTTTATTTGGCTCTTCTCTCTTTTCTTCTTGATGAGCCTGGCTAGAGGTTTGTTCACTTTATCCTTAAAAAAAAACAACTATTTTTTAATTGATGTTTTCTATGTTTTTAATCTCAATTTTATTTATCTTCTCTCTGATCTTTACTATTTCCTTCCTTCTGCTGACTTTGTATTTTGTTTCTTCTTCTTTTTCTTAATTCTTTTAGGTGGTAGGTTAGGTTGTTTATTTGAGATTTTTCTTGTTTCTTGAGAAAGGCCTCTACCACTAGAATTATTGTTTTTTGATATGTTTTCTTTTCCTTTCTATCTTTTTTCTCATTCTCGTATACCCATTGCACATATGTTGGTTTCTGTAATGGTGTCCCACATTTATCTGAGGCTTTGTTCAGTTTTTTCTTCATTGTTTTTCTCTTTATTATTTAGATCATGTAATCTCTATTGATATATCTTCAAGTTTCCTGATTCTTTCTTCTGCTAGTTCAAATCTACTCCATTGAACTAGTTTGTTGTTGTTGTTGTTGCAGTTATTTTAGTTTTCACTCCAGAATTTCCACTGGGTTCTTCTTCAAAATTTCACTTAGTGATATTCTCTATTTTATGCAACATTGTCATGTGACCTTTCTTAACTTCTTTAATGATGCTTTTCTTTAGTTCTGTGAATATATTTATAATGACTGCTTTAAAATCTTTTCACGTTAAATCCAACATTGGATTTCTCTCCCAGGTAGTTTTTGTTGCCTGCTTTTTACTGGAGTGTAGCACATACTTTCTGTTTCTCTTCATACTTTATACTTTTTGTTCAGAAATTGGACATTTTAAACAATATATTGTAGCACCTCTGGGCACTGCTCCTCCTTCTAGGATTTGTTTTCATTATCTTCTTTGTTATTAATTCAGTGACTGAGTTATTTAAGTGAGCTCTATTTCTCCCCACAGTATTAAGTCTCTGATGTTGCTCCTCAGAGTTACACAGCTTTGAGTATGTGCACTGTCAGTCTGGGATGACAGTGGTACTTGTAGGGTTCTTTTCTACTCTTACCCTGACCACCTCCTGCAGCTATGCTGCACTAGTTGCTGGAGGATTGCCCTATTGTTTCTGACACTATCTTGGGGCATAAATTTTTCTACAAACTAAACAATTCAAATTGTAGTTCCTTTCTTGGAATTGTTTTCTGAGGCCAGAGTTTGATGTTTGCCTTGATCTTGGCAGGATTTCTCCCACCTGCTTTATTCCCTGGTTCTCTACCATAAGCTATCTGACCTACATTCTAGTCTGTATCTTAATTATGTCCATGAATCCTCTTAATTGCCTTTCACCCCAATCTCCACTCTTCTTGAAAGTGCCCTCAGATTTAAAGTTTTCCATGTTTTGGAACAGTATGGAGATTCCTTAAAAAACTGAAAATAGGGCTACCATATGATCTGGCAATCTCACTCTTGGGCATATATCTAGATAAAACCATAATTCGAAAGGATACATGCACCACAATGTTCATTGCAACACTATTTACAATAGCCAGGACATGGAAGGAACCTAAATGTCCATCAACAGAGAAATGGATAAAGAAGATGTGGCACATATATACAATGGAATATTACTCAGCCATAAAAAGAAATGAAATTGGGTCATTTGTAGAGACATGGATGGACCTAGAGACTGTCATAAAGAGTGAAGTAAGTCAGAAAGAGAAAAACAAATATCGTATATTAATGCATATATGTGGAATCTAGAAAAATGGTACAGATGAATGATTATGAAGAACCTAAGGGCAGGATGAGAATAAAGCCACAGACCTACTAAAGAATGGACTTGAGGACACAGGACGGGGGGAGGGTGAGCTGGGACAAAGTGAAAGAGTGGCATGGACATATATACACTACCAAATGTAAAACTGATAGTTAGTGGGAAGCAGCCACATAGCACAGGGAGATCAGCTCAGTGCTTTGTGACCACATAGAGGGGTTGGATAGGGAGGGTGGGAGGGAGATGCAAGAGGGAGGAAATATGGGGATATAAGTATATGTATAGCTGATTCACTTTGTTATAAAGCAGAAATGAACACACAATTGTAAAGCAACTATACTTCAGTAAAGATGTTAAAAAAGAAATGATTGTGGTATTATGAGTTGAATTCTGTACCCCCAAAAGTTATATTGAAGTCCTAATCTCAAGGCCCTCAGAATGCAACTTTAATTGGAAATAAGGTAGTTTCAGATGTAATTAGTTAAGAAAAAGACATTCTGGAATTGAGTGGACCCTAATCTAATGGCTGGTGTCTTTATAAGAAGAGAAGAAGAGGCACAGAAACTCAGACACACGGGTATAATCTCCATGTGATGAAGGAGGCAGAGATTGGAATGATGCGTCTACAGGCCAAGGAACACCAAAGATTTCTGGCAACCCCAGAAACTAAGAAAAAGTCATGGAACCTATTCTACCCTAAAACCTTTAGAGAGAGCATGGGCTTGTCAAAACCTTGACTGGGGACTTTTGCTCTTCAGAACAGTGAAATGATAAATTTCTGTTTCTTTAAAACCACCCAGTTTGTCGTACTTTGCTATGGCAAACCTAGAAAACTAATACACAAGGCAGCTCAGGGTTCCAGTCCAAGCAATCCAAGAGACAGTAAGTGGAACCTGCTACTCTCTTAAGAGTTGGGACTGGATACATGTACAGTGTCATTTCCAACATATTCCTTTGGACATTTTGGTTACAGAGTTCCCTTTCATATTCAATGAGAAGGGACAGACTCAACCTCTTCATGGAAGGAGTATTAACAAATCTGCCAATATCTTTAAACAACCATATCATTTATGTTTGTTAAATTTACATTTTTGCAGCTATTTTTGTGTTTCATGATACCCATAATTCACAGAAATTTCTGTTATATTGGACAAGAGGAATTCTCACAGTGCAATCTGAAAACAAACCAAGTCTTTATTCCCTCTGCCCATTTGAACCTATTGTGTCAGGGTAGTTCTTTCTCTGGTATTGAAACCTTGTGCAGGTTCCATAGCTTATCTGCTGATTCTTAGGTAATAAAAAGCCTCATTCAATTTTAGTTACAATAATAGTCTCATTTAATATTTAATATGCTCTTTCCAGCATAATAATAAAGAGCTGTGACTTCATTCAAAATTAAGTTCTCCTTTCCTCCAGCTGTTGTCTGCTTTAGGCTACTGCCTGCAGTGGGAGAAAGGGAGGCATGGTTGTCATCTCTAAGTCCCTATTGAGCCCTTATATGCCACCTCTCCCCTCACTAGTTTACTTCCAGTTTTTCCATTAGACACTTGGAGATACTAACTTCAATGGTACAGACCTAATGTAACATTTGTTTTCTCTTTTCAGGACAAATACTTAAGGTTGCCTTCCTTAGGGTGGGCTATAGTCACCATGCTGTACATCAGATCCCCAGAACTTATTCATCTTATAACTGGAAGTTTGTATCCTTTGACAGACATATCGCCATATTCCTTACCCTCCAACCCTTTCCCATGACAACAAACAATCTACTTTATGTTTCTTTAAATTAAGCTTTTAAAAATTCCATATGTAAGTGAAATCATACAGTATTTGTCTTCCTCTGTCTGAATTATTTCATGTAGCATAAGGCCAACAAATTTTATCCATGTTGTTAAAAAAAGGCAGGATTTCACTCTCTTTTATGGCTGAATTACATGCATACCTGAAACAAACATATATACTATATATATATATGTGTGTGTGTGTGTGTGTGTGTGTACATATATATATGTGTATATATATAGCAGAATCGAGAGAAGCCTGTTTGTACTTCTCCCAGACATGTTAAACTGCTGAATGGACAAGTTGAGTTCTGGCGAATGTATATCATACAACTTCTTCCATGTAATGTATATAAATATGTTTTAGTCATGGTCTGTACATTTTCACACTGTGCTGATGCTTTCCCTTACCGACAGGTTACTACCTCTTCCGTGGCTTAAATGCTTTGAAAAAGATTATACTTACCTGGGGAACTCCTCTCAAAATTCAAATTGAGACACATTTTACTGGCCAGGTGCTTTGGCAAGTCAGTGTTGTTTGGCTGGTTTTACAAAACTTTCACTGTGCTTACACCCTAAATCCTCTGGTTTAGTTGAATGAACTAACAGTATTATTAAGACTCAATTGGCAAAATTTACAGAGGCCCTCCAAATACCTTAGCAAAAATCATTGCCATTCCTTCTAAATCTCGGATCCACTCCTTTTGGAACTCATTAATTCTCCCTCTTTGAGATAGTTAAAGGGTGCCAAATGCATTTGGCTCCTGCTTCTTTTGACCCACAACTTATAAAAGGAAAGATACTCTAATATTGCAAAGGCCTAATTTCTTCTATTAAAAATAGTGAGATAAATATTCTTACTGTTCATCCTTGGGAGACAAGCACCTTAAGCATCACACCTTGCAACCTGGAGATTTTATCTATTGGAAAGGACTCCTTCAGAAGAATTATCTTCAACCTCACTGGAAAGGCCTCTATCAAGTATTGCTAACCAACCCTTTTGCTGCCAAACTCCAAGGAATAAACTCTTGGACTCAACTGACACACGTAAAGAAAGTGTTGAACGCTGTCTGGACCTGCACATCATCTGGTGACCTGAAAGTAAAGATTTCCCAGAATAGAGGCAGACAATATCTGATGAGACAGTTTTCCCAGGATATCTGGGACCAGGCCTGTTGGAGTTGGTCACCAAAACTTTGATGGTGACATAATACTTCAAATGATCTACAATGTCTATGATCTTGATAACATGAATTTTAGATAAAAGTTCCTGAGAGTTTTCCCTCCTACCCCTGTTTGTTATTCGAGTATAATATTACTAGGTTACCAATTTGTGCATTTTCCCTCTGACATGAGACACTACACCCAGAAAAGGACTTTCCTGACCCTGAGGAAGAGAAAACTGCTGAAACCAAAAAAAGTGGTGCTTTCAAAGAAAGATATTGATCAAAAGAGGAAAACGTAACAAAAATTAATTAAAAGTGCCTCCATTAAATAGAGTTGGAGGAAGAGAAAGGGGAGCTCTCACACCCTGCTAAGATAAAAAAGCCCAACAGGAAGAGGAAAGATTCCCTTTCTTTCTTAGCAAGGACTAAGCCAATGAAAAGCCATGGACTCTTTTGTTTACTATAGCCCTCCCCAACCTCATTTTCCTATCTGTAAAATCATTCTCTTTCCCTTGCCATTCAGAGACTTGCACACTGCTTGCCATTGTTGCAGATTCCTGAAGTGCAATTAATTCTCTTCTAATCCTGAAAAAATTCATCTTTGCTGGAAAAATATATAGCAGTCTATTTGTTTCAGGTATACATATTTCTATAACATCATATGGAAAAATCCAAATGAACTTTTTGACCAACCCAATATTTCCTAAACTAATTAACAGGGAGAATTGGGATAAACCACTGTAGTTCCTTGGAGTCGCATTGTTGAGAAGTGGGAGAACTTTGGAAAGGCTGGTTAGAGTGACAAAGGTACCCAAAGTGTTTACATTTGTGACAATCGCTTTTCCAATAATAGCAGAAACTAGGAAGTTTTGGTTTTGTTTAGCTTTTGCTTGCTGGAGTTGAAGACTAAGAACTTTGCCAACAAGTATG